AGGGCTCTGAGTGCCGCCTCTGGCACCCGTGCCATAGGTTCGCCACCACTGGCCTAGAGCATCCGAAGGAATGCCGAATCAATCTCGCTCTTTTTTTTTTTTTAAATCCTTCTGAAGCATTTATGTGTAACACACTTGGGTGGCTGCATTCACCCGGTCTGGTTAGCCGGGTGGTTGAAGGACCACCTTCTGGGTCCACATCGGACACTAAACAATGATGCTATCACAACGGCTGGCTTGTATCAAGGGGCTACGCCACGCCAAAAATTAAACCCAAGCTTAATCATGTCCTTCTTCAAGATGTGTGAATGCAAGGACCAGATTTGCAGTGGGCCAGTTCCAATATAAATAAATGGGGGGAGTGGACACAGCCAGCGGCTCGCTCCGCACAGGATATTGAGGGGAGGGGAGGGCAAGTCCTGTGCCCGGGGGGGGGGCTCTGGCTCGGCATCCCAGGGTGCCACCCGGCATTGCCCTGGCTCAAAGCAGGCTGGGAGCGCCGTTCATGACCAGGGCTGTCTGCCAGGCTTGGAGGCTGAGTCCCAACCCGGAGAAAGGAAAGCCAGGAAAGCCGACCACATTAGGATGCTCCTCTCTCCTCCCGTTGCCATGGAGACCACTCCAATGATCCCTCAGGCATGACGGAGGCAGCCATGTTTTCCTGACTGCTGCAGAGCCCCCACCCCAAATGTTAAGCAGAGCAGAATTGCTTCTGAATGGGGAGAGGGGGAGACACCTCTCGGCAGTTGGGCCAAATTCAGTAGGGGCTCTCTCAGGCCTGAACTGTAAGACCCCCCCCACACCCTGCTTTGCTTTCCCTTCAACCTGCTTTTCCCCTCTTTTTTTCCCATCTCCCTCCCTCCCCCCCCTTCCTCCCTCTCACGCCCAGCTGTTAATCCTGCCCCTCGGTTCCCTTTTCTAGCTTGCTTCCTTGCACATCCATTTCAGCAACGCACAAAGGGCACACCCTGTACACTTTCTCTGGAGCAGAACAGAACAAAAGACCTCCTGGGGAGAAACTGTAAAGTTGGGGAACCGTACCCCTTCTTTGCCAAGTGGACGGAGGGGGGCGGGGAGGATGCCACACCTGGGGGGCAAAACACAAACAAGGAGGCCTGGGGTTGCCCCGCAGAGGCCGATGCCAATTCAGGCAGCAGCAAGGCCCGTGCCAGCACACCGACAGGAGAAGCCTCTGCCACACAGCTTGCGTCTTTGCACCACTCCTCCCTCCCATGGCTCAGACTGTCACTTGTACTCACGTCTCCTCCACTCCTGCCACAACTGCTGTCTTGCACACCCACCCATCCGCTCACTCGCGTATTTCACTCCCAAATCTCTCCATCGCTTTTCTCCCCGGGTGGCCCGAACTCACTCACTCTGCCTTGGTACAAGGGTGGCACTTGCGCAGACTTGCGCAAATTGCCAAATGGGCACGACCGCCGGGTTTGCCACAGCCTGGTTCGTTGGTTAACTTTACCCAGATAGCTTGTGTTCTACCAGAACGGGAACGACATTTTGTTTAAGGGCGTTGTGCGAAGCCAGCCAAGGGGAGGTTGACAGGTCCAAATTAAAGGCCTCTCTTCGCCCAGGGTGCAAATTCGACCCACCAGGAGGGGGAAGCAGGGAATATTATGGGTCCCTTCTCTTAAGGAAGTCCACCTAGCGCAGGGGTAGGCAACCTTGGCTCTTTTATGACTCGTGGACTTCAACTCCCCGAATTCCTGAGCCAGCATGGTTAAGCATGGAAACCTCTCCCTTTCCCCTCAGCATGGCTGGCTCAGGAATTCTGGGAGTTGAAGTCCACCAGTCATAAAAGAGCCAAGGTTGTCTACGCCTGACCTACTGGAACCAAGGAGAAGGGCCTTCTCCACGGTGGCTCCTTCCCTGTGGAATATCATCAGGCCAGAAATAAAATTGGCCCCCACCTTGATATTCTTTTGAAAGGCCCTGAAGACATGGTTCTGCCAAGGGGACTGGAGACCCCAACGTGATATGGAGCCCCATTAAGGGGTTGGTCCGATTGCTGTCACCTGGAGGGGGTTATCTTTGTAAGATGCTTGGAGTCACCATGGGGGGTTGGGCAGTGACATAAATTTCCTAAACAAACATATTTATAAATAAATATAAATATTTATAAACAAGTAAATTTATAAATAAATTTTATTTATAAATAATTGGGGGGTGGTGAAGATGATTGGGAGGCTGGAGGCTAAAACATACGAAGAACGGTTGCAGGAATTGGGTATGGCTAGTCTAGTGAAAAGAAGGACGAGGGGGGACATAATAGCAATATTCCAATACTTGAGGGGCTGCCACAAAGAAGAGGGGGCCCACCTATACTCCAAAGCACCAGAAGGCAAGTTAAGAAGCAACAGATGGAAACTAATCAAGGAGAGAAACAACCTGGAACTAAGGAGAAATTTCCTGACAGTGGGAACAATTAAGCAGTAGAACAGCTTGCCTCCAGAAATTGTGAGTGCACATTTGTCTGGAATGTTATAGGTTTCCTGCCTGAGCAGGGGGTTGGACTAGAAGGCCTCCAAGGTTCCTTCCAATTCTGTTATTCTGTAGTTAAGACTGTTAAATGTCGCATTTCAAGATTTATTTTCTCATTCCCTTTTTTTAGCTAGCCTGATTTGGAAAGGCACTTAAAGAAAATGCTAGGAAAGGCCATCTTTACATTAAATGTTGGTCCTCGCGTTCTCCCATTTGCAACTTTGCAATGTTAATAATAATAATAATAATAATAATAATAATAATAATAATAATAATAATAATAATAATAATAATAATAATAATAATAATAATAAAAAAATTTGGAAGGGACCTTGGAGGTCATCTAGTCCAACCCCCTGCTCAGGCAGGAAACCCTACACCATTTCGGACAAATGGCTGTCCAGTCTCTTCTTAAAAACTTCCAGTGTTGGAGCATTCACCGCTTCTGGAGGCAGGTGGTTCCACTGGTTAATTCTTCTAGCTGTCAGACCTCAAAGACACCAGCCAGCCCGCTGGTGCAGTACATCCAACGGCATTCCTTTTCGAGTCAACTCTTTATTCAACATCTGGAAGCAAACCTGACTGAAGGCAAAGCGCCGTTCTTTGACCAAGAGCCTGCTTTGCGCAGTCGGTCTCCGACTTCTCCATATGGGCTGGGAAAAGAGCCTCGTTCAAAAACTGGAAGGCCACCCTCTGTCCATGCCCATAACATTAAGGTAAATAAAGCCACAGCCTAATTGGGGAAAGGCGCTTGTCTATGGGTCTACCTGCTGTTTTGCAATCATAAAAGGTTCATGCCTTCGTGCACATAAAGGGAAAGAGACGGCCTTGTTACCTCTTCGGCTTTATATGCCTGGGCTGCACATATGCTCCAGACCCTAAATCAGGGAATGAAATGTACAGGGAAGGTGGCAGATCTCTGGGCCTGAAAGACGCTGCGGCAAAGAACATCATTCCACAGAAATTAACCTGCCTTCCTCCCACCTACCGGATTCAATTTGATAAAAGGAGAATTGGGCTTTCAAAATTCCCCCGCAAAGGAACATCAGAGCAGAGCACGGTGTGTTTTGTGCTTATGCAGTGACATTGTTAAGGAGGGGGGGGGCTGCGTGTGAATGCTCGGTCCTCTCTCCGGCAACCAGGCAGCCTCCCTGGCTTCCCTCTCTTGTACGCACAATTCCAGGAGAGGCATCAGGGGGGACTCTTCAAAAGCAGCGCTCCTTTTGAACAGAAATCCAAAGAAAACACCCGCCCTTTCCCCACCGGGGAAAGGATTCAAAAGGCCGTGTCTTCTCAGCTTGATATTTTTTCTGAGTGGGATGACACTCACCGGAGGAGAGAAGGGAATCTGGGGTCTGCAGGTATATGAACCGAACCCGCGCTGAAACAATATTTGTAACTTTGCCTCACAAATCTACCTCTGGCATTATTGGGGTGAATAAAAAAGACAAGTAAAATGGTTGCTGAAAGCTTAGAAATTTATGGGTCCCCTCCCATCAAGCGGGACCCAGAAGAAGGGCCTTCTCCGTGGGGGCTTCCTCCCCGTGGAACATCATCCCTGCAGAGATAAGACTGGCCTCCATTCTGACGCTTTTTCACAAGGCCTTGAAGACGGAGTGGAGGGCGTGGCCGCCATGGTGCTGCTGGGCCGCTTGGGTGATCTGTGGCGGGCCGTGTAGCTGGTGGGTGGCCCAGCGGGCAGGGCGGAGTGGGGACGGGGATGGGGGGCAGGTTTTGGGCACTCAGTCTCTAAAAGGTTCGCCATCAGTGGTGTAAGGTCTTTTGCCTTGAACGGGGGGTCGGACAAAAAGACCTCCTAGATCCCTTCCAGCCCTGTGATTCTAGGACCTCAGGCATAGGGCGCAGGTTGATATTAATAGCTAGCCAATTTTTTGCCAGTACAAACAGACGTGAGAACTATCGTGGTGAACTTTCTGTTTCCTAAACCATTCAGATCCGCGGGCACTGCAGAGACAAATCACGCGCTCGCCAGTGGGCACGGGGTGGCAATGATAAGACGGCCTTGTCTGTCTGAATTCGTCACCTTAATGGTAAGGCGCTTCATCAGGTGGTAGCTGATAGCCAGGTGATCAATAACCCAGCTGGCACCAGACACACACAAATCACGTCCCAGGGGCGACCTGCAGCAGGCTTTTCTGATGGCAGTGGTCCACTGCTATCTGCGCATCAGTGACCCCCTGGCAGGCTGTGCAGCCGTGGACTTTATTTGCCTGTATGTTGGGCTGTAAGCAGACTAATAAGCGGGAGATCATTTGCATATGCATATGGCAAAAGAGTGGATTGATCACCCATGCTTCGACAGCAAAGCCATTTACTGCTGATTAAGTCGCCCGGGGGATGAAAAATAATCTGATTCCCAAACTGGAATGACTAACGTGGATTAAGCAGGCTAAAGACAATCATAAATACTAATGGGGAAAGGGCCAAGGAGGGCCAGGATGGGGAGAGAATCTACTGGTTTAACCGTAGAGAGAAAATCAAACCTTGGCTATTTAAGGTACCCTGGAGTTAGCAGCCGCTTAACTGCATCATTCCTACAAATGCTAATTTGGACCCCTCTAATTAACCTGTTATCTGGACACTCACAAGGATGATAAATGACACTGCACAACCGGTTGGGTCATTATTTACCTAAGCAGGAAAACAGAATGGCCACAGGCAAGCAAAGAAGCGATGGGAGCAGAGGCCACTTCTGACTTCCTGCCAGCTTCCCCACTGACTCTCCTCGTAGGAAGCTGGAAGGGAGAGTTGGAAATGACGATCGGGTGACCGCGGCCGACTGCAGTGGCGCAGCAGCAGCAAAGTGGCCACACCTTTGCCGTCATTCAATCCCACGGGGGTCATGGGTCCCAGATTTTGGACACACTCTTTAAGTCGGCCCATTGGAGGTACACGGGTTTAAAAATTCTTGTCCTATTTTGCCCAACTGAACATTACAAGCAATGAAATAGACACGAGAGTTTTAGTAGCATATAGACAAATAGTTTGAGACCTGAACACTGCACAATGGAACGAGCTCCCGTTCCTTGCCTTAGCTCCTACCCGCCTACCAGTTCAAAAACATGCAAATGTGAGTAGATAAATAGGTACCACTTCAGTGGGAAGGTAACAGCATTCCATGCGCTTCGGCTTATAGTCATGCTAGCTATATGACCACAGAAAATGTCTTCGGACAATGCTGGCTCCCTCGGTAAAGAAATGGAGGTGAGCACCACCCTCTACAGTCGGATCCTGGACAGAGGAAGGTTTTATCTTTACCTTTACAGACAGACAAATTTGTACAAGATCCCCCAGTCTCATTACTAAGTTGGTGCAGAAGCCCAGCAAGTAACTTTGTCAAACCAACATTAAGCAAACCCTGGTTCAGCCTGATGTAGGAGCCCAACTGTTGCCTGCCTTCCTTCTCCGGGATGTGCAGAACTTGTCTGGGTGGAGACAGCGCTAATTTAACTACAGGTAAGCCCTCAACTTACAACCACAATGGAGCCCAACATTTCTGTCGTGAAGTGAGACATTTGTTAAAGGGGTTTTGCCCCATTTTCCAACGTTTCTCGCCACGGTTATTAAATGAATCACTGCAATTGATATGCTATTATCCCAGTAAATCTGGCTTCCCCATTGACTTTGTCTGTAAGAAGGTCACAAAAGGGGATCACATGACCTTGGGACCAGTTGCCAAGCTTCTGAATTTTGATCATGTGATCACGGGGACGCTACAAAGATTGCAACTGTGGAAAAATGGTCATAAGTCCCGTTTTTCAATGCCGTTGTAGCTTTGAGCGGTCACTAAATGAACTGTTGTAAGTCGAGGACTCCCTGTATGTGATTTAATACTGAAAGGGGCATTATAGCTAATGTAGATGTTTTAGGATCACACAGACACCTTGCAGGGCACCACCCAATGGTGTGTTTCAATTTAGAGGAAACGGCAGACCCCCCCCCCCAAACTGCAACCCTGAAGTACCTTCTCTCCAATGAACCAAGGCTGTAGCACACCAGGGAGTTGCGCAAATCAGAAGCCCCAAAGTGTTCCTTCTGACCTAGCTGGTCTTTTCTAACTTCACCCGTATAGGGTCAGGTCTTACTGCATAGAGTCCCGAAACAAACGTAGGGCCCTTAGATACTGCATCGCCATTCACTGAGTGTGCGTGGCACACTCGGCTGCTGCTTTCCCTTTTGCCAAGTGTGCACGGCCCGTGAAAAGTAATGCAGCAGACGAGTGTGCAACAGAAATGAGAAAACTGCCTCCATCTGCAGGCTGCCAACACAGGCCTTTTAGTTGGAGGGATGGAAGCCAAATGGGGCTCAGCAGTTGGACGACCCCCCGCCCCAACCCCACATTCCCTTCTGTGAGCATCTGCACACCTGCCTACCCCACATCTCTGTCTACTTTCATCTTGGCTTCGCGCCAGGAAGTCACGACATCAAGAGACGTCAGTCACGGCACAAGGCACCAAACCTTATCTCGCTGGTGCAGACGCAGCCCGTTGTTCCGTTCCTTGCTCACTGCGTAGGATACGAGAAGGCAGAAGGCCACAAAAGAGGTCTGTGCGTGTGGACCCACATGCAAACACACAGCTGGCAATGCGAGCAACTGAAAAGACTTCTTAGTGATCTCACGCATGCACTCAAGACACAGAGCACGTCTAACGGGTACATGGAAATCAACGCACAAACGAAAGCATGTGGAAAAAAGCTGGTCAGATGTTAGGTTCAAAAAGAGGTGTGGCAGAATTACAAAAAGCTGAGTGGAGCTCGCCGTTGCCAAAATTAGGAGTCTAGTAGCATCTTTTTAGGCTAAATTTTTTTTAATTCAAAGGCATAAAATTTTGTGAGGCTCATGAATGCTTAAGTGTTGCTTCCCAAACTTGAATAAATTATCTCTTTGATTAGTGTCCATCCGTTGCTTCTTGTCCTGCCTTCAGGTGCTTTGGAGAACAGCTTGATCCCTCTTCTTTGTGGCAGCCCCTGAGATATTGGAACTCTGCTATCCTGTCCCCCCTCGTCCTTCTCTTCATTAAACTAGTCTAGAAAGAGCACAGAGAAGAGCAACAAAGATGATCAGGGGACTGGAGGCTAAAACATATAAAGAACGGCTGCTGGAATTGGGTAGGTCTAGTTCAGTGATGGCGAACCTTTTAGAGACCGAGTGCCCAAACGGCAACCCAAAACCCACTTATTCATTGTCGGGTGCCGGGTGGGTGTGGCCCATTGGGTGGGTGTGGCCAATTGAGTGGGCATGGCTGCGGTGGTAACGGCAGACTGGGTGGGACTAAAAAGTTCAATCAATCAATTCCAACTTTGCCAGATCTTTTTTTTCCCCCGCGAGAAGTTGAAATTGACTGATTGATTGAACCTTTTTTTTTTTGCACACGGTGGTGGAGGCCTAAAGCAAAAAGATTTTATAAAACCCAGCTGAAGGCCTAGGACTGGGGCGACGGCGCACGTGCCCACAGAAAGGGCTCTGAGTGCCGCCTCTGGCACCCGTGCCATAGGTTCGCCACCACTGGCCTAAGAGAACATTTACATGTGGACTTGGTCTTTTTCACCTGGTATTAACTCAGTCAATAAAGAACCCTAAAATGTGCGTGGGAATGCTCCTGGCTATTGACAGAGATCTCCCTTGCGATGCCACCATCCCAGCTGTGTGAAAGGTGCACAAAGGGCCCTGTGTTCAGATAAGCAGCAGCTGCACACTGGGGCTAATTGAGCTGTCGAAGTTCAACCCGTTTGGTGATGCAACAGGCACATCCAGAAGAGAGGGTGGAGGGAGAGGAAATCCACAGCACGGAGACCCCCCACCCACTCACCCACCCAGTGGGGCCGGGTTCCAGCCTCTGGTTGAAACTGGCTTTAACTGCAAGGGACAAGGCAGTGGGCTGATGTCATGATGAGGGAGTCAAGATGACATCAACACGACAAGGAAGGAAAAAGTGTCTGGGCGATAAGCGCCAGGTGATGGAATGCAGACGTGGCCATTGGCAACTTTAATCTCCGGCTCTCTGCTCCAGGCAGCAGCGTCATTTTTCTTGGAGATGGATGCCAGGATCCTGCGTTGATGCTCTGCTCTCATAACAGCGAGCCAGAGAAACAGAGGATCTGCATGGCATCCCAGGGGTCAAAGAGACGCCTCTGGGAAGCTCACAAGAAGGAGAAGAGCAAGAGTGCCTTCTCATTCAGTCCTGGAGATAAAACATCACGTTTTGTGATCTGCTAATAAAATCAAGCCATATTCACCGAACAACGGTGTTACTAACTTAACCACGGTGGCCTTCTGAGATGGGGCAAAACTCACTCAACTGCCTCGCTTAGCAAGAAAAATGTTGGGCTCAATTGTAGTCGTAAGTCGAGGACTTCCTGTATTGCAGCACTGCTGGAGAAAATGAAGAAAGGCTAGGATTCACAGCCCGCATTGAGACTGGTATTGGGAAACCCACCAAAAGGCAAGTGGTTACTCTTGTTTTCTTATGCTCTTTTTCACCGCCCTGCCTCGATAAATATTTTAAGCATTTTATATTTGTTGAGCATCCTCTAATTATTGACTTTGCTGGTCCTGGAGCTGAAAGCCATTTTGTTGGGAGGTAATATTGGCAGGCCCGGGAGCCATCCGGAAATGGGAAATCAAAGCAGCCCGCTTCAAATGATTCCAGCGTCCAGACCGCCAAAACTGAAAGGGTCTCTGCAGCCCGAGAATTCAATAGGTGATCTAACAATAGATTTGCAGTGCTGGGCTGGAGAGTCCCATCCCTCTCCTTGGGAGCGTTTGATTCAATAGAAGGCACATCTAAAGCGCTCGCTGCTTCTTTTTCTGGAACAAGCTTTTTTTTCCTGAAGATGAGTGGAGCAAGACGCCGCGGAGAGGGCTTTCAACTGACTTTGTTGCTAATTTGTGCTTCCCTACAGCACAAACCGTGGTTGTGAGTTTGAGCAGCCAACGGAGGGCAGTAAGCAAGGAGGGGAGCTCAGAGGCCCCTTCCAGTTTTTGCTCTGATGCATTCAGACACAGACTGAAGACCTTACGCAGCTCCCCAGTTGGGGAAAGCTACTGGGGTTTGGGGAGAGGCGAAAAAACCTTGCTGTGCGGTGTTAAAATGTTCCCTTTTGGAGACTCAGCTCAAGAGGGATGTGAACAAAACCCCAAAGCAAGCTAGCTTTACAAAACAAATCGAGAAAGTCAGAGTCTGGTCATAAGGCTGGAAGGGACCTTGGAGGTCTTCTAGTCCAACCTCCTGATCAAGCAGGAGACCCTATGCCAGTGATGGCGAACCTATGGCACGTGTGCCAGAGGCGGCACTCAGAGCCCTCTCTGTGGGCACGCCTGCTGCCGCCGCTGCCAGCTCACACAGGCCCATTAGGCTCGAGTAGAGGTGGTAGAGCAAGCCCCCATGCGCTCGCTGGCCTCTGTGTGCGGGGGCTGATGGTGTCAGGCAGCAGCTGCCCCTGCCTCGCCTTGCCCTGCAGCAATGGCACCCCTGCCCTACCCCCTGCCTCAACCTGTAGGACGAGCCTCCTGCCCACTGCCCCACCCACCAGAGACCCCCTGGATTTCCCCCAATCCTGCCCACGAGCAACATCAAGGTGGCCATGCCCACCCCGGCCATGCCCACTCAGTCTGCCGTGACCACCTCAGCCACGCCCACCCAGTGGGCCACCCCCACCCCGCTGAGGGCACCACAATGCTGATGCAGCTCTTTGCGATAAATAAGTGGGTTTTGGGTTGCGGTTTGGGCACTCGGTCTCTAAAAGGTTTGCCATCACTGCCCTAGGCCATCTCAGACAAATGGCTGTCCAGTCTCTTCTTGAAAACCTCCAGCAATGGAGCACCCACAACTCCAGGAGGCAAGCTGTTACATTAATTAATTGTTCCCACTGTCAGGAAATGTCGCCTTACTTCTAGGTTGGATTTCTCTTTAACAGACTTCCACCCATTATTTTTTTTCCTTTGGAGAATAAGTCAATCCCCTCTTCTCTGTGACAGCCCCTCAAGTACTGGAAGACAGTTATCGTATTCCTATAGGACAGAAATATTACTTTAAGTGCCTCCAAATGAATTTGGATTACTGTATTTCCAACACTTGAAATTGTGTTGGGGTTTGTTTTTTTTTTGCTTCAAATGAATGCAGAAATCCAAGCCCAACTGGCACACTGTGTTTCAAACGTTTTAATTTGATTTTCCTAATTGATTCCAAATGGATTGATTTTCCAAATTAAAGTTTTAAATCGGTTGGGTAAGTCCCCATCAGCCCTTGAGAACACAATGATTTGGAACCCCTGACAATTCTAATAACATTATTTTTCCCCTTTTCCCCAAAGGGCTGGCAAATAGTACTCTGAAAACATGAATCTGCATTTTGTATTTAAAAATGTATTCGGAAGAAAACGTGGTGGGGTCCACAAGGTGTTAAGCACGTGAGTGTTTGTGGTGGGGATTAGGAAGAAAAAGCAAAACAGCTCTAGATGAAAAGAGGGAAAGAAATTTTTGGTTTCTCTTGGCCAGTCTTTAAGGCCTGAGAAAAAAGGAACATTTTCAAAGCTCTGTTTGTCATTCGACAAGAAGACATCTCAGCAAAAATGATCAACTAAGGCAGAGGTCCCCAACCTTTTGGGCACCAGGGCCCGGTTCCGTGGAGAAAGTGCGTGGTTTTGTGTGCTGCCTGCATCCCACGGATGGGGCTTTGCTTGTGCGGATCGGTTGCTGGCATGCCGCGGCCCGACACTGGTCATAGGTGCAAGGGTCATAGGTGTGAAAAACGGTGATAAGTCACTTTTTCAGTGCCACAGTTAACTTCCAATGGTCACTAAACAAACTGTCGTAAGTCGTGGACTACCTGTATCCGAAACACAGCCTGGCTGCCCCAGTTAAAAAAAGAAATCCAAAATGGATTACTTCCTTGCTGAGTAGGAAAAAAGCCTGGGGATGCAGCCATTTCCAACGTACGAGAAACACCAGTGAACATCCCGCTTCCATTCACCCTCCTTTCCACCCATTATCTGTAGATGTCAGCATTTAATGGGGAAAGCTGGTCATTATTCAGCCACGTGAAAAGAATTAATGGCTTTCCAGACATTTCTCCTCCCTGCGGTGTGGCTTTGCTGGCGTCACAGTAAATATATTAACAAACGTATTTATTCCTGCAAATCAATGTTGGCAGATGCATAAAGGACAAACACAGGAATAAATTAAAGAGACGAACAGCGGGCTGCTGCGTTTCCTTGCAAGGAGATCCGCCACCAGTTGGGCATCACCTTTCCCGTGCTTCCTAGAGCCATTTTCATGCCTCGGGGTATTTTATTGTCGTACCTTTATCGACTTTAAGATATAAACCTTCTCCCAAATCCTCCTGACCATGGGGTGAGAAGGCTGTCTCAAATAAATAAAATAAAGCTTCACATTAGATGCTTTTGCCTACCGTTCCAGAGCTTTTATTAAAGCTGGGCCAACTGTTTGCTACCACTTTTTAATCAACATTTATGGGGAAGTACAGGTAAGCCTTCAACTTACATCA